TAGCTGTTTTGTATTCAAATACACCATTGTCTTCTATCTTCTTGCCTCCCTAATTATTTGTATATTAGGATTTCCTGTGTCCCACTACTTTAAAATTCAATCTGATTTATTTGTTTATTTGAGTATTTCCTACATTTATATAATATATCCTGATAACTCTTTCCCTCATCTCTAATTTCTTTTCCACTCCTAACCATATTCCCCACCCACTTGCTCTATCCTTTCCTTTCCCAGTTCATGACTTGTGGTTTTGTTTTGTGACTCAGCGTTTTAACCAGACCTTACATCTTTGTGTGACCAGTGGATGGAGAGTGTGCACTGAAGCATATTGGGGCCGTCAGTGGGTGCACAGCTGAAGGCATTGATCACCTTGTTCCTTGAATCCATCAGTAACCAACAGTCTAGTTCTGTGGGGGGAGGCACATGGGGGGACATGTGAAGGGGATAGGGGGAGATGGGAGGGAAGTCCCCTTGAGTCCTTCCTCCATGGATTTGTCTTTTAAGTCATCAGTTCAGTATTCTGTTGTTAAATTCGTCTTGTGAATTAATTTAATTCATTAAATATTTTCTCAGGCCTGCCTGAAATTCCCTTTGGACATTTTTTTTTATTTACAAATGCTGTTTATTAGGTAAAATTCTACATTGATTTCTTGTTGCCTTAATCATATTAATTACAGATTTTTCAATATCTGTGGATGATTATTTAATATTGGGCTCATTAGGAAGGCTAGTCTGTTATCTGAGTTTGGCTATTTGTTTCTGTTCTTCTGATGCTTAATAATAATGATGGTTTATTTCCTGTCAGATATTACTTTTGGAATACTCAGAGGCTCTTAACCATATAGGGTTTAATGCTGTTCTATTGTACTTTTAGGATCGTGGCCAACTATCATGAGTTTCAGGCCTTGGTGGATTTGGACTGGTTTAGGTTTGGGTTTAGCCTTGTATATATGCTGATATTCTGTCATTACTCTGTTCTTCCCTTGATGGAGTGTTACGAGAAGTTTAGAATGACAGCTTAGTCATTATTCCCAGAATTCTAACATTTGTCTGTATTTGTATTGATCATGGTCTCTGAAGCTCAGATGGTCTGTTTTTTGAGACAGGGTCTCCCCATGTCGTCTGGGATGTCCTCAAACTCAACCTTCCTGCTCCAGCCTCCTGCATGCAGGGATTAGAGGTGTGTACCACCAACGCTGGCTTGTAAAGCCAAAATACATAAATACATTACTGAGTGTGATACTGAAGCATCTGAATTGACCATCCAAGACAAGCAAGTCTGAGGCCATATCAACCAGAAAGAAACAGTTTTGAAATAATAAAATTTTGCAATTTATATACCAATTATGAGAATTTTGATTGCATGGACCTAAATTCCTAGGTGGAAGTGTTCATTACATCAAGATTAAATAATTGATCTTGAGTACAAAGTAATGTCATAGTGCATCATTATAAATGAATAAATTGTACATTGTTCAGGGAGTTATTTGGTACTTTGCTTCTAACAAGTTGGAGGATTTCATGTTTGAAACCTGTACATTTCATCTCTTGGCTCTGGAGAGACCTTGTTTAATTTATTCCTTTTTTTTTTTTTTTTTTTTTTGTCTACAGAGGCTCTCTGTGTTGAACCGAGGTCCTTATCCATGCTAACCAAACGCCCTGCCATGGAGCTCCGTATGCCCAGCCTCAGAGAGATCTTCAGGGAAGACCCATTTCAGAGTGTCTCTGAGACTTACCATTCGGATGTGAGCCAC